CAGGAATTTAGTCACAAAGTTGAGGCGTAAACTAAATGGCACTCCGAAAATCAGCGGTCCGAGACATAACGTCTTTTCATCACCATTAGTGCACCAAACATAGCTTCAGCAAGCAGGCAGCCGTACTATTTGAAATGTATCACGTTTCGAAGCACCCACACCCCTACCAAGAGCACCCACACGACTGACCGATTTGGAACATACGCGCTCGAACCGAACGACACTTATCTCACGCGGTATCGGAATGGGAATATCACCACGACTAAGTCGTTGAATGCTTGTTATCAGTAAGGAATGTTCATTGATGACGTCAAATACGTGAAATATATGCTAAGCACCAGTGTAGTCTCAGCTTTGAGCTTTTTCTAGCAGTCACCTAAGATAATTTTTCATGGAATTTTGCACAGAAACTTGTAACCACCTTTCAACGGTGAGTAGTACTAGGAGCAGGGTGAAACCCGATAATATAAGATGTACTACGGCACCGCCGTAATGCGGAATTTTTGATTTATGTAAGGTTTCTGCGTTTTCGGTGATTTGACACTCGCGGACTTACGGACCATACCGAATCTTAGCAACATCTCTCCGTCTATTCGCGACAGGAAGCATTTGTGGAGGAATGAGTGAAATCCAAACCCGGCTTGAAACGTTTGTACCATTTTCGTCTCCACATTTGTAATTGTTGCGCCATGTTCAGTATCTTCGTGCGTCGGTGCGTTTGTCCATTCTCCACGCGTTACGCGGTTTGTCAGATAGGGAGGTAATTATATTTGTCGGAATGAGCTTCATCTCATTGGTACCGCCTGTATTATTGCCCTGCCCAGTTGTGAGGTCCAGTCACCGGTGACATCACCGCAACCAACCCTGTCGACCCAAGGTTATGCAAACTGCTAGCGGATTGGCAGGCAAATTTAGAGTTGCCCAGGCATTGCATGCATTTTGAGCATTCGTCTTTTATTGGATTGTTTTGCCCCAAGATAATTTCACAAATTTGATAAGTCTGCAGATTTGCACTGCAAATAAACTAAGGTTAACTGGGTGTTTGTGAGAGGCATGAAGGACAAAAAATAATGCCCCAGCTCATAATGGAATAATACCATTGTGATAAAGAGCATTAGTACAAACATAAGCAACAGGAAGTTCTACACTGCACATGTCCATTATGAAATGCATCGCTGCGCAAAAGAGCAGTTGTAGAACTATGACACAGTTGTAAAGTTTTGATCTCACTGGTTGCAGTGACTTGAAAAAATGTCTCTTGCCAAGGCACAACACCAAGATGGAGGAGTTTTATAAGTTCTTAGCTAAAATTTGGTGATAGGCACTGTAGATCAAAGGTGTGATAAAAAGCCACATCATTGACATGCAATTTAGTGTCCTGTTGGCCACAACATAATCATGCAGGCTTACATGATCTGGGGAGCCTACACACTAAATATAAATAGACCCACATGGTATAAAATGAGAGGAAAATCTGTCATGGACTGGAACTTGCAAGCATTAAGGTGTATCCATTGCTGGACAAGACATTGCAATCAACTGACAACAAATGCTCTTCAAATACATCAACAGCCTGCAGAGCCCTGTCAGCTGGGGCAGCAGGGCCCCAGCCATTTTTAGTGCCCTAGCCATGCACCAGCCTCCTTGAACAGCATCAGTGGGTATGCAGTATGGGTATGCAGTGAGTTTTTCACATGGCTTATGTAGTCTATTTCATAATGTTTTGGTAAGACAGTGTGAAATATACATATGACATGTTTTGTAAAACATCACAGCAGGCTTGGCATTGGTGATGTTGGATGTTTTCCTCATCAATATGATGATACATCACCAAAGAGGATGATGAAAGGAAGGTGAAGACTATCCTGCTGCATGGCGTGGTGTTGTTTATGTTCCTTAATGTTTCATCCTGTATGATACATCCCAGGGTAATGGTTTGGACAGTCAATATAACCACATAGTTACAAAGTTTAAGTAAATGTGCATCAGTTGAACAATAATTTAGATTTTGATTTTCCAACAGAGTTTGCAAGATGTTTGTAATTACTGACAAGATTGGTTGGTCCATGCTTTGCAGATTGAAAAAAACTTTGTGCTTAAGTTTCTAATGCAATTATAGATTCTAAGAATGATTAGTTAAGCAATTTGCTGTGGAATGCCTCTATGATGTTATGTGTTGAAGAGGGAGTAGTACCTACTCTGTCATACCTTCTAGCCATTTTCATTTTTGATGATCCTTGCATGTTCCAGAAATATTTCACAATGATGATTTCTTTAACAATCACAACTAACTACATTGCACACATTACTGAACTTGACCAGTTTGGCCCTGGTTTGCAGGGTCATAGACTGTGGTGAAGCCGTGCAGTAACAGGAAGGATCAGATATGTCACATTCCTCCAGCAAAGGAGTGGAGTATTCATGTGGAGAAGGCAGCCCGCAAGTACCTGGGAGCCAGTGACTCATCAGTGGTGACAGCACTGACCTCTTACATCAATGCTGGATACAGCAAGGACAAGACCACCAGTAAGTTGAAGGAGGTCTGGCTTGGCTTTATGTTCTACTTTCAAAGCTAAGCCGCAGGCAGCTGATCTTTTGGCCAGACTTGTTTAGATGCCATAATTGGCTTGATACCTGAGGTGTAATGTCACCCATTTGTCTGCAATCTGTGCATCCATGGTGACCATGAGGTTTCAGTTTACAAACAGCTGTGTTTTTTGTTGGTGCTGTGTTTGTTTGCTTGCCAGTTTGCTGTCTTCTTTTACAGTCATGACTGATTGTGTGCTCAATTCTCGGGTGTGTCAAGAACCTCACCAGCATGGCAAGATAGGCAATAACAGTGTCGCTCAGTCTAAGGACTATTTCCATGCTAAGCTGTTTTTATAACATGGCATTTGTAGTACCCAATAGCTAGTTGGCAACTTGTTTTGCCACTGTCGCAACTCAAATTGTTGTGTTGAAGCATCACCACAGAGACCGGCACCAGCTTCGCTGTGATAGCTGATCAATGTGATGTGCCACCTCCAGCTTGTGATGCCACCCCACTTATTGTCCAGGCCATAGTCCTTCCACTGTTGGGGCATCTGGGCTAAAATCAATGAAAATTGTTCCCTGGATCAGCATCAGGAACTTCGACGATGCAGCGGTCAGCATGTGGTGCAGCAGTCTAAACTGTCTGAGGTGGTGTGGGTGCAGCAGTCTAACTGTCCGAGGTGGTGTGGGTGCAGCAGTCTGATCGCCTGAGGTGCTGCAGGCGCAACGGTCTGACCACCTGTCCTGACCCGTCAACAGGTAAGATCTCGTCGCTGATCGACGCTAGCAAGGCGGCCAAGCTGACGGCGCGGGTGTACGACCTGCTGGAGGAGAAGCGGCTGGGGCCCAAGTTCGCGGCCAAGCGGCCCGGCGCGGCGCCGGACGCCACCGAGAACGGCGCCAAGAAGATGCGCCGCGAGGAGGCGGTCCCGGCGCGGCCCGCACCCGCGCCGGCCCCCGCGCCCGCCGCGCCCGCCGCTCCCGCCGCTCCTGCCGCTCCTGCTGCCGCCGCGCCCGCCGCGCCGCCCGCTGCTTCTGGGGATGGCAAGGCGCCGCTTACGCCGCTGCAGGTGAGGAGACCGAGCACGGTGCTTTGCCGGCCTTGCGGGCAGAGACTCGGGGAACGGAGGGGGGGGGGAGGGGGATACCCGAGCGGGCCGACCCGTTCTCCGCGGCTGCGGTGGGGATACGCTCCGACCCCGGACCGATAAGACCGGAGCGGATGGGGCGGGATGGTGGCCCGGTTTGGTGATCAGCTGCTCACCGATGGCCGGGTAGGTGATCTTGGGAGGCTGCTCAAACAGGCTGTTTGTCAAGATGTGAGATGACCTGTCCATTTGACGTGATTCGACTTTTCGCCATTCACTCCGTCGACCCTGTGAACGGCTGGGCAGAAAAGCGGGGCTAATGTTGTATCATGGTGTCACAGGGCACGAGCCTCTCTAGCTCTATTTGCCCCTTGTGGCAAACGCGTATGTTTCCCAGGTCGGTCGTGTTTCTTTTCTCCCGTGCTTCTTTGAAGTAACTGAGCAGGTACGCTTTTAATTCAGTTTGACATACATGGCTGCACCGTTCATTTTGTCATGACTTACGCGAGGTCACATTCCGTTGTAGCATGTGTCCGGATCACCAACGTGTCGTCCTCTTCACGCAGATCAAGGAGATGATGGCCAACGCGCAGAAGATGATCGAGATGCGGAAGAAGACGCTGGGCGCGCTGGCGCCGGGGGGTCTGGCGCAGCCAGGCCTGGCGGCGACCAGCGGCGAGGCGCCGTTCACCGACAAGGCCAAGAAGATCGCTGACCTGCAGGTGGGCTGAGGGCGGGTCACCGCTGATCGAGGGCCGACCACTACTGGCCGCCGGCGGCGGCTTGGCTCGGGCTCGGGACGGCGAAGGCTGGTGTCAGACCGAGTTTGAAGCATAACCTGGCCTCAGAGCTGTGTGCTGGTAGATGGCTGCATGGCATTAGCCAACACTTGACACTTTGGTTGAGGGCATGTGGACTGCACTGTAGGCTCATGGGATGGCTTGAGTATGAAAGCATTTAAGCAGGGTATTTGCCAGTCTGAAACGGCTTTTGAATCATAGTATCATACATGTCAAGCTTATCAGTGTGTTTCAGATGACCATGTTGTCTACTGATGTGTACCTCTTTTTCCATGTATTCCGTTGTGATACTGATGTCATCTGCATGGTGGGAAACATTTGTGCACGGAACCAAGCTCGCTGAGGTTGATGTAACATCTCTAACGCGGCGCAGTTTTGCTGCTCCGCTAGCTGACGCCGCCGTGTCGCCATGGTGACCGATGCGCCGCCGCTGGCAGGCCGAGATCGCGGCCAAGCTATCGTCGCTGCCGGTACGCTCGACGGACCCGGCCGACAAGCCGCGCCCGCTCATCCTGGACGACCACGGCCGCACGGTGGACGCCTCGGGCAACGAGGTGCAGATCGCCGCCCGCATGCCCACACTGAAGGTGAGCTGACGCCGGGCGGCGCCGGCGTCGGGCCGACGGGGATGTGCGGTCGGGTGCCGTCGCTGGTGCTGTCGTGGGCAGGTTCTCTGTTGGAGTATGCGTTGTATGCGACGTGAAATGTAGGCTAGGTTAGTAGAAGGGTTTCTGTGCGGGGACGCTGTCAGACTATAATCCTGAGACTTTCAATGGAAACGGTGCACTATGCGTGTGTGTAGTCATCGGAATGGTATCGCTATGTGTCTTCGTGAAGGGCCCGGGCGTGACTCGTCACTTGCTCCGCGACAGGCCAACATCCGTGCGAAGCGGCGCGCCGAGTTCCGCCAGCAGCTGCAGGAGCGGCCGGCCGAGGACGTCAGCGAGCAGGCCTTTTTCGACCCGCGCGTCTCGCTGCGGCCGTCGGCCCGCGGCCGGCGCGCCTTCAACTTCCACGAGCCTGGCCGCTTCCAGCAGGTGGCCGCGCGCATGCGCACCAAGGCGCAGCTCGAGAAACTCCAGGTGCGTCACTTCGCGTTTTGGCCGTCTTTGCTTAGGTTGTCTCATTGGCTTTTCGCGCGTTATCATTGATTGGGCGACAAATAAGAGTGCCTTGTAACGGATTTTCGCGGCAATTCATCCTCGTGACTTCGTGTTCCATATGTGCGCAATGGCTGGCGGCATGGTTGTGCGACCCGCCGCGTCGTCAGATTGCCTCCCCTCACCCTCACTTCTTCCTCCGGCAACTCTCATTCCCTCCTCCTCCACCGACTCTCACTTTCTCCTCCTCTACCGACCGTCATTCCCTTCTCCACCGACTCGCACTTTCTCCTTCTCTACCGACTGTCATTTCCTCCACCAACTCGCACTCCCTCCTCCGCCGACTCGCACTCCCTCCTCCGCCGAATCTCACTCCCTCCTCCTCCACTGATTCTCACTCCCTCCTCATCCGCCAACTTTCACTCCCTCTGCGTCCGCCAATGCTCACACCATCTTCCTCCACCACTCTCACTCCTCCTCTTCCACCAACCCTCACTCTCTCTCCCTCCATTGACCCTCACTCTTTCCTGCCCTGACTCTCACTCCCACCTCCGCCACCGACTCTCACTCCCTCCTGCATCGCTTGCAGAGCGAGATAGCGCAGATCGCGCGCAAGACAGGCATCTCGTCGGCAATGCGGCTGGCCATGGTGGCGCCGCGGCCGGCCGGCTGGCAGCCGGCGGCCGACGGCGGCCCGCCCGCCATCGAGTGGTGGGACCAGGTGGTGCTGCAGGCCGACTCGTACGGCCCGGAGACGGACGAGCGGCCGCGCGCCGAGCGGTACCAGGGCGTCACCAGCCTGGTGGAGCATCCCACACAGATGGCGCCGCCCAGTCAGTACATGCGCCGGCCCGGGGCAGGGGCTGGAGGGACGGAGGCCATGCCTATGGTGGCTGTTGTGGTGGGACGGGACGGCGGTCAAGACGCTCTTTTCTGAGGTCGAGACCGTGGCCGTGAGCGATTGCATGTTGCGCGTAGTATTTCAGAACGCCCCCAGCGACAAGCAGAATCGTGGCCATTGAGTGTAAGTGAGGATCGTACATTTAATGTAGATACATCTCGTACCAGAACGCCAGCCTGGAGATAGAGGTTTATTATGCCCAATTTCAATCCCTAGGTTTGGCTGATGTCAATGTAACGACTGGCATAACATGGAGCAGCCAGCAGTCTTATGTCATACCCTGGCCAATTGTGCAACGGTGATTTCGACAACGAGCCAATCAGCGTGGCGACTGGCCAAGCTTTGCAGGATCCAGCCAATGGAGCCGCTTCATTTCTGCATGCATGGAAGGCGATGTGGCGGGCGTCTGCCGGTGACGTGTCTTTCCGTCACCTGTCGTCAACCGCCCGGACGTCATCTGGCGTAACTCGTCCTGACGTCATCCGTCCTGACGTCACCCGTCCACCTGCAGCTGACGGCGGCAAGGACGTGTTTCTGCCGGTGCTACTCACCAAGAAGGAGCGCAAGAAGCTGCGGCGCACCAACCGTCGCGAGGCCTGGAAGGACAAGCAGGAGAAGATCCGGCTCGGTCTGGAGCCTCCGCCGGAGCCTAAGGTGAGGAGCAGCCGGCGGACGGCACGACAGCTGGCGAAGCCGAGCGCGGCGCGCCGTAAACCGGGAGACGATCTCGGAGTAGGAGATACTTCCAGATGAGCGGGCTGCGAAACCGGGTACGGTGTTGTCGAGTTAGAACAAGCCCCGCTAAACGATACTGTTAGGGGTGTCTTCCCATATTTTTGAGTGTAGTAGAGTGGGCTCGCTGGAGCCCTGAAGACCACGTCTTGCGAAAACCCAGGCTTGCTATTCACTCATGACTTATAATTTTGCTCTCCTTGCACCTCCATTTCGATTTGGAGCTGGACGGAGACCGAGAAGTGACGACCTCGCTCGGCGAGATCAAACGGCGACGTTCAACGCAGACTCTCCGATCACGGTCCAAAATCACTGCACCCTCGTCGTATTGACGACGCAGGAATACCCACCGTCCTCCCTGCCCCCTTCTTGGCGACCTACACCTGTGTCAGCAGCTGAGGGCGATCGATCGATCGATCAGAGATCTGAGGGCGGTCGAATGGTGCGCGTCCGTCGGGCCCGCGGCGCCCTCGCCGGACGGCAGGCCACGGGTCAGGGGGTCGCACGGCGCCGACTGCCGACTCGGCAGGTGTCGCGTGGCGCGTCGGCTCGGCTGGTGTCGACGTGGCCCATCCGAACGGAGGTCACCTTTACCAAACCATAGCTCCCGGGGGGTGTAGGTGCGAAAGTGCAATTGACCCGTGCAGAACGCGGTGTCCCTGAACAGGATGGCAGGAATCGACAGGCAAGGGAGACAGAGTTCTCGGGATGGCGTCTGCCCACGGAAGGGACGGCGATCTCGCCACTGAGTGCGCACGATCCTCCAAAATGGAATCTGCCCCTCCCCCCCCAATCACTGTTCACTTGATTATCGTCATTAGTGACGACATAGAAAAGGTAATATTTCGCCCCTTCGCGAAATGTTGCCTTTCAGTGCCCTGCATCGTCCGCAACACCGCACCCTTCCGATGTCGCTGGTTCTGATCTGCCGTGTTGAAGGCAGTGCAACAAGCCATGTTCTCATTCTACCTGGTCGCCTTCCTGAAGCGCAAAGGACGCCGCCTCAGCCTCTACGTCGCCGGTCCGCGGGTGGTTCCGCGGGCTACGGTGGCCGCGGCGCGCTAACCCCACCCCTATTTCCCCCTCCGTCGCAGGTCCGCATGTCGAACCTGATGCGCGTGCTGGGCAACGAGGCCGTCCAGGACCCGACGAAGATCGAGGCGCACGTGCGCGCCCAGATGGCCAAGCGCCAGAAGACGCACCTGGACGCCAACGCGGCGCGCAAGCTCACCACCGAGCAGCGCAAGGAGAAGAAGATTGCCAAGATCAAGGAGGACACGTCCACCGAGATCCACGTGGCGATCTATAGGTGCGGCGTGTTGAGAGCGGGATAGGGGCTGGTTGTCGGGCGGTGGTGTCAGAGCGTCGGTGCCTGCGCTGGACAACGCAGGGGTTTTAGCGTCTTTTTAGGATTGAGGTGAGGGTCGGGCGCGTTTGGCCTTGTATGCTGGCAACATGCCCACCACTTTGAATTTGTGTTGAATTGGTTTTGCTGCCATTACAGTGGCATGAACTGCTTCCTTTCATGGCCATTACCATTCAATTTTTGCAGTTGATCGCGAATCGGTACAGACTTGGTGTCTCCAGTGTCTCGTCATGCCGCGATATGCTCCGTTTGCTTCTATGTATACCCTACCGCCTTTTGCTGGCTTGCTGTTGGCTGGGTGGTCATGTGTTGACGCGCTGACCGCGAACTTTCCCGTTACCAGGGTAACGGATCTCTCGAATCAAGCAAAGAAGTTCAAGGTAGAGACCAACGCCAACCAACTGTTCATGACGGGCGCGGTGGTGCTCTTCAAGGACGTAAACGTGGTGGTGGTCGAGGGCGGGCCGAAGCAGCAGAAAAAGTACAAGAAGTAAGTCCCTAGCTAACTTGCTGCCAGCCCAGGGTGCTGTTGGCGGCCGCCGGGTATGGAGGGGGCCATATATGGAGTGTACCTGGATGGAATTTGTCCATGGAGGTGTGGGAGTTCTGCGTAGAATTGGAGTAAAATTGACTTCGCACGGCCCCGAATGAAACGGTAGTTGAGACGTGTTAAAATTGAGAACAGTTACTGAGATCTCTGAACATCGTTTGACAACCACTGGAAAGGGCCATGCCTCACATAAGGTGTCAGGTACGGAAATCCTATGGTTGTGTCATAGACATAAACTAGATGCCTCAGGCTTTCGCCACGCTTGAATTCATTACGGAGGATTTTTTTTAAAAGCTGCATCATTTTGTCCCCACGTTTATACTCCCTTGTTGCCACGTGTTCCGTCTTGCCGCTGCACCATGTCTGCAAAATGTTGCTTGTAGCGTGTGTTTGTAACGTTTGTGGCGTGTGCGCGTCAGTGGTGTGGCGCCACTTCGGCGCGGTCGGCCCCGTTGAGAGCTGAACGCGCGGCCGACAGACACCCTTCCCCTCGATTGTAGTCATTGGAGGGTTCGACCAAAGGTTGACAAAGTTGTCGGTCGCATAATTCGTAGTGAATTGTTTTTGTATAACAAGTGTAGTAATTTCGCAAGGTGTTTATTATAATCGTTTATTGTAATTAGTGCATTTATATATTGTTTATTGTATTGTATTGCAATATTATATGAGGCGTATATTGTAATCTTCATGTGTGGGATCAAGTGATGTAAGAATCCGAATACCTGGCCGGGTATTCAAGTTTGCAGAAAGTGGGGGCTCAGCTCCGTTCCATAAATCAGGAAGGGCTGCTCGTGTGTAACGTTAAGCGATTGAGATGCTTTAGCTTGGTAAACTGCTTGTGGAAATTGAGATGATTACTATGATTTTGTTAATTACAGGTTGATGCTTCATAGAATCAAATGGGAAGAGGACATGGTGAAAGGAAAGGAAGGAGAAGAGGCCGAAAACAAATGCGTCCTCATATGGGAGGTAGGTGGCCATTCTGTTCGTCGCTGCATAAACTAAATTATAGCGATGTATTCTATTCGACATGGTGTCGCTGTTAAATTATGAGCATTTGAATTCATGTAAGTTCCTATGTTACCGCTCTTGACATTTGCCGTCAGCTGGGAAGGTTGCCGAAGGCCTGGAGCCAAAGTGATATACGTGTTTACACTCCGATGTTAAGCGACGTTAAATGTGAATAATTATGTGATGGTGTTGGATGATCTCCCGTAAATTTGTCATTGTCGTACGTCATGGCAAGTCGACATGTCCTCATGTTGAAATCCAAAGGGTTACCGACACTCGGCGATTATTGAGATGGGTGTCTTCCTTCTCGGTTTGATGGACATTGCAAGTTATAGATACGTTACGCGGGGAGCGTGTTGTTGACGGGTTTGCCATTTTGCCTTTCGAAGCACCGGCCCTGTGGTGCCCGGCCGAGCCGGCGCAGTGCGTAGGACCGCCCTGTAAGGGATCCATCTCCCCCGGTCCAGCTCGCCTGCACAGGGTGGGCGGCGGCACTGACCCGACCTCGCCGCCGCCAGGGCACCACCAAACAGCGCAGCTTCGGCGAGATCAAGTTCAAGCTGTGTCCCAACGAGAGCTTCGCGCGCGAGCACTTCCGCAAGCAGGGTGTGGAACACTACTGGGACCTGGCCTACAGCGCCGCCGTTCTGGAGCAGGAGGCCACGTGATCACCGCCCGCTGGAGCGGAATGGCACGTGGTCACCGCCCGGCTGGAGTGGGATGTCTCGTGGTCACGCCCTTTCTGGAGCGGGACGTCACGTGATCGTGCCCGTGTTGGAGCGGATATCGCGTGATTGCCCTCCCTCTGGAGGTTGATATCACGTGACTGCCGCACTGCGGGGCTGGAGGCAGCCGGATGGCCGCCGCGCCGAAATACGTTTTCCCGTGACCACTGCCGTGTCGGAAGGGTGCCAACGCGACGTGAGCGGTGTGGAGCCGGCCAGCGCATGTGACGAGCGCTGTGAATAACGGCGAACGCGGTTGCCGCCGCGCCGAAGCGTGCCGCCCGACGACAGCTGGCGGCGGCCGCGTGCAGCCCGCGCCGGTGTAGGCAGCCGCCGGCAGCGAGCAGCCACGGGGACCGGAGGGGTCGGCTCTGGACCAGCCAACTGCGGCCGGGCCGAAGCGCTCCGCTGTCACAGACTCTTCGCCGGCCGCCCGGCGAGCTTCGGGAGGGCGGCGGGCGCGCGCGACCGCGGCGGCGGCCACGGCCCGCTGTGATGTGATCCAACCGGCCGGTTCTCCCTCGGTGTGGCGGCGTTGTGTGGCGGTGGCGTGAAGCGTGGCGGTCCGAGTGGGCCGGGCCGTTCTGGAGGCTGCTGCTGCGCGGTATTGGCTGCGAGCTGGGTCTGCATCGGCCGCGGTCGTTGTGTGTTGACCTCGGACGCTGAACGGGCCTTGTGGATCTGTTTCTGGTGGCACGGACGCCGCGCTGGCGGCGGCCACCGAGGCGCCACGTCAGAACGGAATATATAATCGCTCGTGCTGATCCTGGTGCCTGTTGGAGAGAACGTGGGATGTGCGGGTCGTGACATTTCAGGCGTCTTGGAAGTGAAACGGTGTGGGGTGCTCCGCCGGTCGATAGGAGCGTACACGTTGGCTGAACAGAAGCGATTTCACATTAACATCACCTTGATAAGAACGAAAAGCACGTGTGTCGCACACTAAAAGCAGGATGGCTGGAAAGCCTTCACAGGCCATGAACGAAATTGAAGGTTAGCAGAATGATCAGGCCGACTCCAGCTGAAAGAACCAGTCATGAATTACGCCCGCAGTTGCCAAGAATATATCCCAGTGCTGAAACTATAGATACCCAGGACAAGTCGCCGGCTATTATGTTGGCTTTCAAAGGGTCTTATATTGACAGGATGTAAAATCACTGGTGAAAGGGAAGATCTGGCGATAACTAATTTTTAAGCATCTTTGGACCGTGGCGGGGCACGAAATGGTGCCTATGAAGATGCCGGTGACTGCATGAATGCAAACCTGGACTACGTTTCACGCGAATGGAACGCGTTTTAGGTCAGTGATCGGACTTTGGCTCCGTGGCCATCTAAGGCATCTTAACCCTCTTACGCCCAGAGGTCATTTCTTTCACATGGTCAACCCTGATACAGTGTACCTGTTTGATGCGATACCACGCCGTGCTGGGGGTCGTCGCGCGACGTGCTGCATTGTAAAGCATTACATGCGCTGGGATGAATATTTCGAGGGAGGGGAAGCTCAAACTGACGCGTATGTGACATAAAATGCGCTATCGGTTTTGACCGGCACATGATGCTCAATAATAACAAAACAACTGGGAATGTCAGTACGGTCCCGCGAGATTAGGACAAGTTTTGGAGTAAAAGGAGCTAGTTTCATGGTTCCCATGTCTTAGATAGAACGGGCTTGTTACAACTGCCATCTATAGTCGCATTCGTGCTACATGCCGTTTCCCAGTCATAGTGGGTACTCCATACGATCGACCATATTTGCCATGTGTTGCATGTCTGAGCATTGCTATTGAGTGCTTGTTGAGGCTCTCTGGGGCATTAATAGGTGTATATATGCCCCATATATATCCCATATATATATATATATGTGGTATATCTCATTTACATATCTAAAAGCAGGCAGGTCACATGGCATTATTTGTTTCCAGGATGTGTGTAGAATGTGAGGTAGGCTGACCTTGATGGGCCCTTGTGGGCCTTGTTGGCCTGATGCTGTTGTCTTATCAAGCAATGTGAGGGTTCTGATTACTGTGTGTTGCTATTGATCAAGGTTATAGTGCTAATCAACTTATATGATCATTTTATACCCTTTTGAAGGCCAAATCTAAAGCCAAGACAAAGTTAAGAAACCAAAGCTGAAACCAGTAGCTTTGCATTAGAAAGCATAAACATGAAGATGAGCTGGTGGCTTCCAGCTTTGCAGATAAAAAGGGCAAACCAGGGACTTAATAAATTGGAAATTCAAAGCCAAACTGAGCCATGACCAGTTTAAATTGCACAAGCTAAAGGTGGAGCCAAATGCAAGGGTTTTGCAGATTGATTAAGAAAAGGGGTTAACATTACCTCTGATGGAACATTTGACTTATCTCCTCACCTCTTGCTAGCATGAATACAATGTTTTAGATAGCTCCCAAGCTTAAATTGTTTCTTAGCTGATCCTCATTGTTTCAGGCTCTCAAACATGCATGAATCACAGCCCTGAAAAATCATGTAATTTATGTGGTGATAGTCCAGGAAGGCTGCTAGAGGCAACATAAAATTAAGTTATAGCTTCTGGGAAATAGCTAACATGGCAAAGCCAAAACAACTTTAGTTTGCATGAAGCCAAAAGTGAAGCAATGATGTAAAACATTCTAAGATGAAGGCAACTGCTAAAAATGTCATGCAGGTGGAGCCAAAGCCAGCCACATAAAATTACATGATGCTGAAGCTGAAACTTATCTTGGGCATGGAACATTTTTCTAAGCTTCAGCTAAATCTAAAGTTGTTTGAGGAAATAGGCTTCTCAGAACCAAATTACTTTGTCCTCACTTGCATGTTAAGCCATTCCCATCACCCATGCAGTATGTTTGAGTGTGAAATGGTCTGAAGAGGTCCAAATTTAGGCCTACCGGGCAACTAATCCACTGGGTATGTACCAAGAACCATACCTTCAGTAATGTTTTGCAGATTTCATTGGGCAGGCTTTCTTGTGTTATTTATGATCAAACAAAGGAAATACTCATGAAATAAAAGCAAAACATGGAGCTGAAAAATAAAGTCATGTTTTGACTTAACTTATATAGCTGACTTGTGTATATATTTTCAGACAAATTTAATTGTTACAATAATACATGCATTATTTCTCATTATCACCTGAATAAGGATATGCATATCTGTTTTGAATGACCTGAAAGATCAAGCAGACAGATTAAGAGTGACACTGTAGTTAACAATTCAGCACATGAGGGTGTGATGCCACTTGTTTGAAGTTAACCAAACATGTTCAGTCTTGCAATATGTGTGGCATCAGTCATTCAGGTCGCCTTTGGCCTGAATGGCCGTGGGCTAACTCCCCTGGACTCAGCATCATTTGATAAGGTAAGACCATGCTTGCTTTTTTATTTTTTGCTCCTTTGTGTTGCATTTGCATTTACACAGTAACTTTTCATACTATGGTTGCATCATATAAGAGGCTGAGTTTTTTGCTTACAAGCATATGCATTATGTTTTGCATTATTTGTAAACTGTGGTGTATAATGTCTGTGGGCTGTGAATAACTTGATTTTAGTCATAACCCTCTTTGTCATCTTGATAAGCTCAAATGTCTGTTAGTGTTTTGCAGTCTGGTGATTAATTTCAAGAAGTTATGTTAACTTTGACCTGATTTTGCAGATAACATCAAAGTTTAAGGCAACACTGATCAAGTTTGATAAATACTTTCCATATGGTCCTGATCATGATGAGTATGTCAAAATGGCAGTCAATGCAGCAGACAACAGTGATTTCCTTGTGGCTGAGGTAAGGCAAATGTGTGTTATCTACAAATGTTAAGGCACTCAGTACCTTGGGGGGGAATATTTCCAGATCCATGTAGCTCTCATTTAGTTAGGAATGGAGCATGCCAGGGTTAAGTTCTCTTTAGTTGTTTCACATTTGAGGCTTTCATATAGGAAGACTTGCTTGTGTGTGCCCAGTAAAATGCTATTTTTTGTTAGCTTGCAACTAGTGCCATCACATTACCTGACTTGTGACCTGACCCGGCATACCATTACCTGACTTATGTTCCAGGTTGGTGTCAAGGATTATGGTGATTATGAAAATAAAGACCTACTGGAAAGGTTTGGAATATCACCTGAAGACCTACCTGTGATCAAGCTTTACTTCCCTGTGAGTTTCTTTATCCATTTTTTGATCATTTGTGGTACGTTCATCAGTGTTGTCACAAAGACACATGCATGAGTCATTCACTCATGCTCTGCTTATAGTTGGCCATTCACCATTGATGCTGCAAAGGATTACCACAAAGACTGCATTTCCACATCTTGGAGTTACGGTAGCACACTTGAGGCCATGCAGTCCACGGTGAGGCCAGGGACCTCCACAGTAACCCAGTGACCTCCGCAGTGTCCCAGTGACCTCCACAGTGTGCCAGTGATCTCCGCAGTGTTCCAGTGACCTCTGCAGTGTGCCAGTGACCTGCCCTGCCCGATGGCAGGTCATCCCTGCCGTGTGCTGGCGAGCCCCGCCCCGCGGGCACCGGCGCCGTTGACGCCGCCCTGTGCCGCAGGACGGCCGGCCGCCGCTGCCCTTCAGCGGCCCGGTGACGGCGGCGGCGCTGGGCCGGCTGGTGCGCGGCGCCGGCGTACCGCTGCCGCTGCCGGGCGCGCTGGCCGAGTTCGACGCTCTGGCCGGGCGGCTGGCGGCGGCCGAGCCGGCCGAGCGGGCGCCGCTGCTGGCCGAGGCCGACCGGCTGCTGCGCGAAGCGCCGGCCGAGCGTCGCGACACGGCGCAGTACTACGTGCGTGTCATGGGACGGCTGGCCGAAGAGGGCAGCGCGGTTGTGGAGACGGAGCGTCGCCGCGTGCGGGGCCTGCTGGAGGGCAAGCTGTCCGAGCAGAAGAGGCGGGAGATGGAGACGAGACTGAACGTGCTGCAGGCGTTTGTTGCGCCCGCAGACGGCGCGAAAGACGAACTGTGATCTCTGGTGTCGGCTGTATGACGGATAGCGTTGGGACCGTGCGTTGTCGGGTGAGAATAACCGTCCGGCGTCGGTGCGCTTGCTGAAGACTCGTTTGCAGTAGTGATGTTACCTGTGACGTGTTTCAGGCTTTTACACTCAGTCACATTCCACGTAGCGCACCTCTCACATGTTTGTTTGACTGCGTTCCGACAAATATAGCGTGTTCGCACCAGCGCTTTGCTTTGTCCGAGGAAGACTCGTCATCGCACGATAGTCCTGAGCAGCGCCGAACTTTATAGCTCTGTACCCTGGTACCGGTTAGTCAAAGCCATCCACAGGTAGGCGCCACCGCATGTATGCGCTTGCTGTAAAGTACGAGTTCCACCCGACATACCTCGACACACAGCAGCTCAACCGCACAGGAAGCCACATCTTGCAGGGAGTTCAAACTCACGCGCTCACGGTTTAAGCGCGCACTCTGGGAGCACGTCAGCTAGCGTGGTACATATCACTAAGATGACGGGCCGAACTTGTCGATAGCCATTCAGTTATATCGAGGGCGTCAGGCGCGGCCATTCATATCTAAACGAGCGCGGGCGCAGGTTAGTAACGCTTCGTATCGTTTCGAGGACATCCAGCTCCCACACCCAACAGCAGCGGGTCTTGTCGGTACAAACACTCACGAAACTACGACACTGGCTTTGGTATGAATATGCGAATAAATAGCGAATATAAGCACCATCAGGTTCTGCAGGAAACTCGCCATTGAGCAAAACCCTCCTCAGTTTAAAGCGATCTCGCCGCGAGCTCAGGGCACCGGCATCTGTCCTCCCAGCCGCGCGGGCGGCCACGTGACCGGCGCTCAGCCGGCTGTCGCCGCCGGCTATCCGGACGAAGCGCGCCGTCCGCGACACCTCCGGCTGGTCAGGGCGGCACGGGGGCAGGACGGGCGACGCCGGGTCGCGCCCGTGACCAGGGACGGGCAGCGCGCACCGCGTCCAGACAGCGGCCGCCACTCTCAGCCGGCCTCCGCTCCCTCCGTGTTCTGCCGTGCGCACTGTCCGACAGCGCAGGCAGCCATGTGTCGCTCTCCAGCGCTGACCGCCATCTGTAGATCACTGCTCCAGCGGAGGGGCTGAACGCTGCTCCGCCTGGGACAGACGCCGCCGGTCACTGACCGCACCTCCAGTCGGGAAAGACTCGGTCCGGTCGCGCTCCTGCTCGGGCTACCGCCGTCACTGCTCCAGCTGTCTGGTCACTGTTACAGCTGGCCGGTCACTGCTCCAGGTGGCCGGTCACCGCTTCAGCTGCCCAGTCACTGCGACAGCTGCCCGGTCACTGTTACAGGTGTCCGGTCACTGTTACAGCTGTACAGTCACCGCTCCAGCTGTCCAGCTACTGCTCCAGCTGTCTGGTCACTGTTACAGCTGTCCGATCACTGCTCCAGCTGTCCGGTCACTGTGCCAGCTATCCGGTCACTGCTCCAGCTGTACGGTCACTGTTCCAGCAGGGAGAGCTCGATGGCACGCCGCACCATCTCCTCCTCCTCGCGCCGCTGCCGGTCGGCAGCCGCGTCCTCCCGCCGCGACAGCTCGAGCGCGGCCGCCATGTCGGCGTCCTCTGGCTCCGGCTGCGGCCCCGGCTCCGGGCCGCCGCCGGGGCCGCCGCCGCCGCCGTCGGACGCCAGGGACAGCTGAATCGCCCTGGACGGTCGGCAGGAGACACGTGTGACCAGACGATGGCGTACCCCGACACGAGCCCACCGGCTGAGCGGCCGACTGCACAGGGGCGCGACCTCACTAGGGAACGGCTCAGGCCGGTGGCCAGGCCGGCCGACAGCCGGGCCAGCCGCCACACTACTGTACGGGATCTCAGCGACAGCGCGAGCTCGGTGCACCAACTGCTAACTGTTAACTGACTCGTGTTGCTAAAATACAAAGGCACAGACGCCCGACCAGCGCCACCCGACAGGAAGCTGGCTGATTACTCTGGTGGGCTGACGTACAGTTCTGTGGTCCGCCGTGGCTGCCCGTGGCCGAGTGCTGCTCTTCAGCACGTGGCTGCGAGGGCATGCCGTCGGGGAGAGCGGTACACGTAGGAAAGACGAACCACAGGAGAAGGATAGCACGTGGACATGAGGCAAACGTCTTTCTTACGAAGCATAGAAGTGGGGCCTTCACATTATGACCTAGGAAGTAATACTGAATTTTGAAGGCGATATTAAACCTTGTCACATTAGGTGCTGCATTTTCGGAACAATCCATAACAATATTTTTGGAAGCAATGTTTAAAACCACATCACCGTGGTTTATAAACCAACCATAAACCAACCATGCCAGAGGGAGGCCCCACTAACGAATACAAACACCCCTGTAGACAGGCCACCGCGCTCAACGGCCGGACACAAACGGCGCAAGGCTAATGATGGCAGTGCGCCGGTTAGGACCCGGTATACACCAGCATCAACCAAGGAAGTCGTAACGCACCGCGCACGCCTTCGGCAGCAACGGGTGTGTTCATATGAACACACCCGTTGAATGACACTCCCACGATGGGCAGTGTCAATAGACTAGTGGGCTTAACATTTTCAGGAGACGCCGTGCTGAAGAAGGGTGGGCCCCACCACCTGCGCCATACCCAGCCCCGGATCGGGGTGCATCGTTACAGCAGGATAGCTACCACCTAGTGCCGGGGAGCCATACAGCGTGTCTCCACTGGGTGCGTAAGGCGGGGTACATCTGGTGAGTGCTGCGGCAAGGGGTGGACGGGCTGCTAATTGTCGGTGGGCCGGCGACGGCGCAGCGAGAGGGAGCGGAGCAGGCGAGTGCCCAGACCCTCGGCGGCGGGCGCCGGCCGCCGCACCGACAGACACCGCCTGATGCCGGGCCGCGGCGGCGCGCCGCCAGCGCCGTCTGCGGGGCGTCGTCAGAAGATGGACTTGCGCCGACCGCCGCTCTTGGGCGGTGGCGCGCGAGCCGTGAGCCGAGAGAGCGAGGGCGAGCGGTACCTCTGTAGCATCTGCTCGTCCAGGTCCGGCGCCGCGTGTCCGCGCGGCGTGCACGACTCGGCCCGCAGCGCCTCCCAGATGTCCACCTGGCCAGGGTCAGATCAGGTCAGGTCGGGTCAGGTCGGGTCGGGTCAACACTGCGTCCGGTCATTGCTGACAGCCGACAGCCGGTGTACCATGACGAGTCATAACACAGTAACGCCTTGATCGGCGACTGCCTATCACGGCACCATACGTCTAGAACATAGCAGATGTCCTGCACGAAAACCTCGACCAGTATGGCTCACTGGAGCCAACGTCGCAGGCGGAGCAACGCGCGTCGGACGCCGGAGTGCACATAAGCACCTGGCTTGCTCTCGGTGCCGTTGCGCGGCCGCGCACGGCGCTCACGTCACCGGCAGCTCGGCCGGCAGCAGCGGCGGCGGCGGCGGCTCACCCGTTCGTTCTCGGTGCCGGAGTCGAGCAGGCTCTGCTGGATGGCCATCTGCAGCAGCTCGTCCTCCTCGTCCGGACCCCCGAAGTGGCGCATCACCCCCGAGCCTGGCCACACAGCACGGTCGTGGCAGCGGCACTGCAGCGGCCTCCGGCGCGCAGAACACAGACCGCGCCTGCCGCCGCAGCACCGGCGGCACACCGACGAAATAACGCAAGCAGAACCACCGGTGTGGGCGGCCCCGCGCCGGCGATCGAGGTGATGCATATATTGCATGTTACGGACTGATGTCCGGTGTATCCCGTCCACCAGAGATACTGACAACGGCAACAGAAGGACCCCGCACCCGCTTGCCAGGGGACGGACGCCCAGCACACGGCACGGCACTGACGCCACCGCTCTGGGCGCTCGGATGACCTGGCGGAGCAGAGGACGAGGGGCCGAGGACGCGGCGCACCGCGGGGGTGGGGTTTGGGGGGCGGCACCCCGGGGCGTCCAGCCGGCAGTGTCGCCACACTCACCGACGCTGCGATAGCCCGCTGGCGGCTCGAACACGGCCTCGTCCACCACGCACGCCGGCCGGCCGGGCTCCTCGATCACGGACACGTGCTGCACCGGCTCGTCCACGGCGAAGATGTTGCCGAACGTGATCCGCGCCGTCAGCACGTGAAAGAGCGGGATCTCTGCCGCGCGGACGAGCACGCGCGTTACGGGGGGCTCGCGGCGAGCGCCGGCCGCGCTGTGCCGAGCGACGCGACAGAGGCCGGCTCACGGCCCGGCGCGAGGGCGGCACGCACGCTTCAGCGCGGTGGAATGACGCCAGAGGCGTCACAACCAGACACTTAGTGACATATGTGAAAATGGGGTCTGCATAGAAGCAAAGACCATACCGAAAAAAGGAGAGCGAGTCACCATCCATACCAGTTTACTATGGATGGTGACAGGTGTGCTTATCAATATGGAAGACAAGCAAGACAGCATCACTCCACGGGTGACCTCCAAATGAATTCAGCACGCAAGAGAAGTCACTAACCTATTTTGACGGGGAATCCTGAAGGGAGCTGCATCTGAATAAACTCCTTTAGTTTGGCAAAATGTGTGGAATGTATAGACATCAGGTCCACTATGGGCATCACTTGCTCTTGTAGGCTCAGCGGATATTCCTCGCATAGCCATAGCGTCGCCTGAAACATGCGTCGTTGTGATAACTGAGAATCATACTGACCAAAGTGTCACTGGAAAACAAACTTGACATCTATCACAGTTACAGGCGACAGCTGAGTAAAATCCTTCCACGTCACATGTCGCACACAGCGTGAGAGGTCTGACCACCAAGCCGGTCTGTTTAACATGCGGACGTTGGGGCAGCTGTCTCTTAAAACCACTACACAACACAACGTCTCACACCGTCGAACCCCGCCAAGTGAGACGTTCCAATATTTCCCCATCGGCTGCCGGTGGGCCCGTTCGCCCCAGCGCTGGTGGTAGCGGCACAGAGCCGAGGGGCACCAGCCCCGCGCCGTCACCACGCCCGCGCGGCGCCACGGACCTTGAGCCTCTGCGTCTTGGTGGCGGTGTGGCGCGGCCGGCCGATGTCGCGCTCGCCCAGGTCGCAGGCCGGGTCGAAGTACTCCTCGGCCGCGATGTGGCACGGGTTCGTGCTCGACTCGCTCACCTCCGGCTGCCGGCGCGTGGAGGGGGGTGAGACGCCGCCGCCGTCGCTCTCGGCGGCGCTTCGCGCCGATCGGGGACGTGGCGGTGATACGTGCTGACGTCATCACACCAGGGGGGCTCAGGCCCGCACGCGGTCGGGAGAGGTGTGCTCCGTTTCACGCGGTTCCGTGACGACGCTGATAGGCTCCTCCACTCGTAATAGCGGCACAGGGCGGCTCCACACTTGATGGATCGGCCGCGAAAGGACTCGTTAAATCCGATGAGGGGCCTGAGTTCACGGAGCACGGAGCGGCGGAACACGCAGTGAGAAAAGGACACACAGGGGAGGTCGACAGCGTAACACCAGCCGCGGGCTGCACGCCGTATAACGTCGCATGATGACCTCTTCTTCGAGCTGCCGATGTCATCCGCCGCAACACCACCAGTGGTGACCAGTCGGCCGCCCTCCCGTGACGACGCTGCTGGCCAGGCGGCGGTCAGACGCTGCCCCGCTCCGCCACGCCCTCTGCCGGCGCTCACCGTGACGACGTCCGGCGAGGGCGTGGTCCGACACTCCTCGACCTCGGCCACGCCCAGGATGGAGTGCAGCGGGTTCTTGACGAAGGCGCGGGTCTGCTCTCGGTCCTGCAGAGACGGGGCCGGCCTTCGACACGAGAGCCACCGGGCAGGAGCGCGGCACCGACCCAACACAGACGGGGCCGGCCGTCGACACCAGAGGCTCCGGGCAGGAGCGCGGCACCGACCCAACATAGACGGGGCCGGCCGTCAACACGAGAGCCACCGGGCAGGAGCGCGGCACCGACCCAACACAGACGGGGCCGGCCGTCGACACCAGAGGCTCCGGGCAGGGGCGCGGCACCGACCCAACACAGCGCCGCTGAGGCCCGACTTGAGCCGAGACGGGGCCGGCCGTCGACACGAGAGCCTCAGGGCAGGAGCGCGGCACCGACCCAACACAGCGCCGCTGCAGCCCGACTCCACAATAGCAAGATGCGGTGCAGCCGCTCCTTCATAAAAGAAGACAACATGGCTTTTTGATCAGCCAACGCTCGCGCGGCCACACTTTGTTACTAGGATCGGCAAATTTTCAAGCGCTGACTACGTCACGGCATAACAAGGATTCGAGCCTGCAGCCACCAGCGGAGCCCAACCTGTTCCGTGAGATGTTCGGTGCGGGTTTTGGTGACCAGTTCCACGTTGCTGGCTGAGAAGACCTTGCACTCCCGTCCGTTGACCTCCTCCAGGCGGTCGGACCGCCAGCCCCAGATGCCGGACTTGTTCCTGCCGCAGCCGGCGGCGGCCGAGTCAGACCAACGACCGTCGATGTTGATCGGAAGGGGGGGAGGGGGGGGGGGGGGGGTCCGGCCTACAATGGCATCCGACGCAGTGTAAATGCCAGCTCTAAATGCGCACCAACACTCCAGGGCGAGCAAACACACGGGGTTCGCAGCCGTAATTGTTTCTCACTAAGCGCGGACCGCGTGCAATAATCAGAAATGCAATTTTTAACCGGTCTGCAGGCGGACGGCGGCTCTCTCCATTTCCATACTCCCTCCAGAAACCTCAGCTGGGGACCAGGCGGGCAGTCAGAGCCCTGGCAAGAGGGAGGGCACAGGGTTGACAAAGGGGTCCCCTTATAGGAAAAGGCCCGCCAAAGAAATCGCCGGATATGACCCATTTGCTAATAAGGCATATTTTCTTTGGTGTTGTTCATTTTTACTTTCTGTAATTGGAATAAGAGCCAGAAGCTACAACAAGAACAATTTTGCCTGAATTTCAAGTCAGTATATTCAAGAAATCATGCATTAAACGGCTGCATGAAATAAATCATTCGCGCTCTTCATTTTACAATCGTCCCGTGGACTCAGTCTAAACCAATAGAACTCAGAAGCTTTACAAGAATATTTATCTGGGCTCTACAGCGATACTAATGACCCTGCAAAGGCAGATCGAAGTGGGTCAACAATTTGCATCAACATGGCGGAGCCATGTTTGTAAGAAAATCTGTCATGTTCAGTCAGAATTGATTAGTGCCACAAATGACGTAACGTAATTTTCAGCACGTGCGCTCACAAATCTCAGCAACAAAAACTACCATGCCAGGCATTGCAGTCTCCATTAAACGCGCAGCGCCGATCCTGCGGCTAACACTAAGCCGTGACCAACGGGTGGCGGAAAATGATGACGCATTTGAAAGAAGTACCTTTGAACGCTTTAAAACATCAAATCATACCTTTAGACAGTAGTCCGGGCGTCTATTTCATCCGTGCGACTTTTACATCAATGATAAGAACGCCTGACCTTAACAGCACCGCGAAGCAGTGTGTGTGTGTGTGCGTCATTGGGGCTTTGCGACGCACTCAGCTGCTGAGGCTATGTGGCATGCCTGCCTCTCACCCAGGCAGGAAGGGCGGGCACCGCGGGGAATCGAACCCCACACCTCTGGTTTCCCAGACGCGCAGCGTTTAACGCAGACACTTTAACCACTACACTACCGGCGCCCACCGCGAAGTAGTGTGGGAATATGGTGGTCGAACTGGAAAAATAAATGTAGCATCTCTATCTTCGAATAAATTTGGTAAAATCTGTCAACTTTCTCTCAGTTCGCGTTATTTTTGGAAGGCATCCAAAGCCTTAACTCACGACGTTTCTTTTCCAGCTCACGGCGCCCGCCGCCTGGCGTTACGTGAAGTGACCAACACCGTTCAGCTCTACGGAAACTGCAACCCAGGCCATCGCTATCCTCGCTCCCAAGACTGCAAGCGCGCAGGCTCGAACTTGTTGGTGTAATTTGTTTCGCTAGCCAACTCTACAAAAAATAAACGTTCGCAGACAAACACGAAATTGCCTCGTTTGTCTTTCAACTAATTTCGGCCCACTCTCTCACCATTAATGAGATTCCCCATTTCTTTCCGAGAAATAGGCCTTAAACAGAATACCACAGGGCACATTATTGCTCCCGGCCAAGGGCTGAAGGGCCCTTCCGTTCCACCGCGGGGTGTCTTCCGGCCGCAATTCTGACGACACGTGGCAGCATCCACTGGCCGATTCGGAGGACCTTTAGAAGGATACACCATATGACATTGGTCCCCTGCCTGACGCAGAAGGCTTTGTGACCCGCGCAATTGATCCCGGATCGATGAAGGAACCCTAATAGATACACCAACATCTCTGATCGCCGCAGGTGGCCCAATAATTGACAATAGTCTCCAGTTCGGCTTAACAGGCCCATGATGGAATTGGGTTGGAGGGCCCGCCGTTCAGTGCTGGGACCCTGACTGGCGCAGTCCCTTTCATTGCTTCAATACGAGCAGTCATCATAAGTTTTCATGTTTCCTTTCATTGTCAGAGGGCCTCGACCAATGCAAGAGACCCTCTGTCATTCGGGGTTCCGTCCCCGTCCATGTTCGGCAAATCACGTTTCACGTTTTCCATTCAAAACCATTTTCAGGTCAGGTTGGATCCCTGATTCCAATTTGACCTCTGCAAGCCTGGCTTGCCCCCCCCCCCTTCCACACTCTCAAAGCAGTAATTACACCCATGCATACATGTAACCACGGGTTTACTCAGTCCGGGAAGGCCTGTACCGCAGTACAGTCAACTCCACTGAACGCGTCCAACAAGACACGCTGTACCACGCCGAGCGTCGCGCGCGCCGCGGCGGTGCGGGGATCGCCGCCTGCCGGGCCGCCCTCAGCCCGGCCGTCCGGCCGCGGGCGCCCGGACACTCACCGCTCGAAGTTGATCTTCTCCGTGTCGATGTAGGTGGTGACGATGGGCGAGGTAAGGCGGGCGGCGACGGCGGCCGGGTCGGGCCCGACGGCGCTGGCCAGCACCTCGTCGCTGGCCAGCTGCACCTCCTCCGAGAACACCACCCGCTCCTCGTGGTCCACCTCCGTCACCACCACCCGGTCACCTGGCGAGGCGGCACCGGCGTCAGGCGGACCGGCCACGGCCAGCAGCCAGCCGCCGATGGTCATCCGGACACAGGGGCAAGCCGCCCACGGAAGGGCAATAGTTTGCATGAGGACGGACAAAGGAACACATCGCATAGGCGCGCGGCACCTGCGGATGGACCGAGCAGCGCTGGAGACGGACAGCGGGCGGCCTGCAGACGGGCCTGGCGACACCTGGCGACGACCAACGCCGTCGGCCAGCGCTGGTCGGTCGATCGGTAGTGACATCCTGTAACAGTCTGGAACGCCGCTGCCACTGCCGTTCACTTGGTGGACAGGGCGGGCGAGGAGTGGGAAGAGTCGGCACCGAGTGAACACCCACCGGCGGGGTACAAATTGCGCACGAAGCGAGCGTCATCTCGTGAACAAACACGTGGCAAACACCACCCTGTGAATTAACACGCGGCAAACGTCACCCGGGAACAAACACGTGGCAAACATCACCGCGTGAACAAACACGTGCCGAGCGCCGCCCTGTAATGATTGCCGATTACGGGGCGTCACACCTGCCGTGGTCATTTGCGGCAATCAGGCACAATGGCTGACAGTTTGCCAACGTCTCGCCATGTATGTACCTCCGTATCTCCCTGTCACCGGCTCGGGAACCCATACCGGCAAAAGCAGTCCCCAAAATTACAGCCTGTGGTGTGCTTGCTGTGCTTAAGACAGACATCAAGCTCCTGTGTGTTTGCGATTGTTGCCGAAAAAGAACCATGAGAGTGCTCAATATATAACAGCAGCCGAATGGGAGTCCACCTCAACATAATACGAAAAATTTCCATGTTTCGGTCAATGGCATCGTTCGATGTGAAAACATGGTGGAGCGCAGTGGAGCTGATGACTAAAAGAAACGTAACAGGTGGATAACAATGGGCATGGGTGTTTGAATCGGGTGGATGCACGACAAACCACTAGAAGCTACGAGCCAACTAGGCGGCATCAAACGGGGTTGGTGCGCACGTCCCTTACCTGAATCAAACTGGCCACTAACACCCAATGATAATGACGTTTGCATTTTCAGTAGCGTCCGAAAGTTGCGGTCGTGGAAATATTCAACAATCATGAGGCCGCCCCTGGTGTGCTGGAGTTCCTTGCGTTTTTTTTGGGGGGGGGGGAGGGAACGGTGTTTGGCGATGGTTCACACCCGATGCCACCGAACCACGCCTTCTCAGCGGCGTGAGCGCTCTCCGTCGTCCAAGCCTGCTGGACACCTCTTGAGATGATTGAGTGCTACGCACATGGTCACCTTTATTAAGTATATTCGTGCGAGGACCACACGAAACTGCATGCCGGGGTCTTGCCACACAGCTTTCCTTCAGCCCACTGCCGCGCGCACGGCAGGATCCTATACCAACCGCGAACGCCGGCCAGCTCAGGGCGGGCCGAATGAATGGAGTGAATAAATGAATGCAGCCCATGTCTGGTCACGCCACGCTCACGCCATTCAAACCTACTGTCCCCACGACAGCGCTTGCCCTGGTTGCATGGCCGGGGATCACTGGCGAAACTTTTTACATATGCCTGGCGTTGTTGACCACCCTGAAGTTCGTTTAGTGCACCCAGTAGGGTTAAGGTATCAACGAACGGGAGGCACAACACACTGGCACTCCGCGTACACGGTTTTTCGTGCGAGAGGACGACGTTTTGGATCGACTCTGCTAACGCGACTATACCATGAGACCAATCTGCGTTTAATCAGCTATCATGCCACATCAGACCCGTTTTCTTGTTTTAACTACTAATTTCTGCGACCAGTTTTTCACGTAGGCATTGATAACACCGCTTGAAGACGACAGTTTGCAACCCTCACGACTGAAATTCTTCGTTAGGTGAGACGCATAGTTGAGTCGAACTATGCACGGCACCCAAGTTACATGATACCGAGTGTCATAAAATCTACGCTATGTAGGGCCTACGCTCAAGTATATCCTATCATACTGCCAGTTCTGAATTACCACGCCACGCCCACCTGCGACTCCTACCCCGCTCACGTGAGCTGATACAGTGCACGCTGAGTGGCGCCACGCCAGCTACGGCGCGGGCGACCCTACGCCTGTGTGCGGGAGCGGACGTGCGCTACACCGCCGTCAGCTCGGCGCCCACGGTGCTGTCTCAGCTGTCAAGCCCGACCGACGGGCCGCACCGCACCTTCCGGCTTCCGGAGCAGAGTGTAGACTCTGCTTCTGTTACCGCGCACCGGCTCGAAGACTAGAACAGCGCAGGATACCGCACGGCTCAGCCCCATCCGGGAGCAGACGGAGACCCGGCACAGTCACAGGAGATCCGGCACAGTCATAAGAGACCCGGCACAGTCACAGGAGGCTCGACACAGTCACAGGAGACCCGGCACAGCCACAAGAGACCCGGCACAGTCACAAGAGACCCGGCACAGTAACCGGAGATCCAGCACAGTCACCGGAGACCCGGCGTCACCGGAGACCCGGCACAGTCGCGGGAGGCCCCGACTCAGTCGCAGAATGCTTCGGCAGTCGCGGGAGGCCCGACATAGTCGCAGGAGACCCGGCACAGTCGCGGGAGGGGGGGGGGGGGGCACAATCTCGGGAGGCCCCAGCACAGTCGCACACTCCGGGGTGGCTGATACGCGCGACACTGCTGGCGTGTTGCGGGACGGTCGCCCGTCGCGAAGGGGCCGGCTCGCGCGGGCCACCATCAGCACGGAACAGGCGGCGAGACCGCTCCACGGCAGGGGGCGGCGACTTACTCTGGCCCTTGAAGATGTAGCTCTTGTTGCCGCGCTGCCAGTTGGTGTCGTCGAAGCCCAGCAAGGTGGTGTCGATGCGGACGCGCGAGCCCAGCTTGTACACCTTGTACGTGTCGTGCGGGCACAGGCGGGACACGAGAGGCACTGCCGGCGAGGGCGCGGGGTCATAAGGGGAGGGCGGTGCTGCCGCACTGCTGGCGAGGGCGCGGGGTCGCACGAGGAGGGCGCAGGGTCACCCGGAGAGGGCGGTGCTGCTGGACACGTCAGAAGGGTCGATGATCTTGAGGGATGGGTCGGTGGAGGCGGGGCAAGGTCGATGGGAGAGGCAGGTGGGCAACATGGGACAGAAGGACAGCGGAGCACACGGGGCTGCGGTGCAAACGGCTGTCACTGTGAACCTTTAACCGGGACAGATCAAGGACGATACATGCTACACAGAATGGACATACTGATGGCGAGCCAACGCCGGCACAGACGGCAGCCTGACGGCCGAGAGACCGTCCAAGACCCGCACGGCGCGTGCGTGTGCATCACAGCGGGACGAGACGCCAGCCCAGACGTGCCGCTCGTAGTGATCCCACCGCAGCGCCCCCTCCCCCCCCCCCCCTCCGAGACAGAGCCGCGCGAAGCGCGGGCCGCGGCGCCGCAGCCCGGCGGGCAGAGCGCGGCGTCGCGAGCGTGGCCGCCGGCGCCGGCCGCTCACCCCAGCTGGCGAACTCCCACTTCATCTCCACGTAGAAGTCGGGCGCCTGAAACAGGATACGGGGCCGGCCGTCAGCATCGGCGGCCGGGACCGGACCGACGCGAGTCAGCGCCGGCGCTCGCTCCTAACAGCGTCGGTCGACTCATCCGTTCACGCCGCGTCCACCGGTGAGCCGGACGCATCGGCTCTGGCCGCAGGGGTGGCTCGCGACGGACCAACAGCCGCACGTGGACGGCCCCGGGCTCGTGGCGGTGTGCGGCGTCCGTCCCTGGACCCGGCCCGGCCGTGCTCGGTCCGCCCGGCTCGCGCCGACCGTGCGGCCGCACCCGTCCCCTGTTGGCCTGGTCCAACGAAGCCCCGGGCCGCGTAAAGGTCAGCGGCGGCGGCGAGCAGGCACGTCCGCATCGATTGGGCGTCGGTCAGCTGACGGAGCCGACAGCGGACGGCAGACGGAGCCGGAGCCGGCTCACACCGGCCAGCGCGGCTGCACACGGGAGCCAGGCGCCCGCAGCTAGCTGGGGAGAGGTCATACCGGCCACTGAAGTTGACCACGGGAGCCAGGCGCCGGCAGCTAGCTGGGGCGGGCTCACACTGGCCACCGAAGCTGCACACAGGAGCCAGGCGCCGGCAGCTAGCTGGGGCGGGCTCACACCAGCTTCTGAAGTTGACCACGGGAGCCAGGCGTCTGCAGCTAGCTGGGGCGGGCTCACACCGGCCACCGAAGCTGACCACAGGAGCCAGGCGCCTGCAGCTGCCTGGGGCGAGCTCACACCGGCCACCGAAGCTGACCACGGGAGCCAGGCGCCTGCAGCTGCCTGGGGCGAGCTCACACCGGCCACCGAAGCTGACCACGGGAGCCAGGCGCCTGCAGCTAGCTGGGGCGGGCTCACACCGGCCACTGAAGCTGACCACGGGAGCCAGGCGCCTGCAGCTAGCTGGGGCGGGCTCACATCAGCCACTAAAGCTGACCACGGAAGCCAAGCGCCGCCAGCTAGCTGGGGCGGGCTCACAACGGCCACCAAAGCTGACCACGGGAGCCAGGCGCCTGCAGCTAGCTGGGGCGGGCTCACAACGGCCACCGAAGCTGACCACGGGAGCCAGGCGCCTGCAGCTGGCTGGGGCGAGCTCACACCGGCCACAGAAGCTGACCACGGGAGCCAGGCGCCTGCAGCTGCCTGGGGCGAGCTCACACCGGCCACCGAAGCTGACCACGGGAGCCAGGCGCCTGCAGCTAGCTGGGGCGGGCTCACACCGGCCACCGAAGCTGACCACGGAAGCCAGGCGCCTGCAGCTGGCTTGGGCGGGCTCACACCGGCCACCGAAGCTGACCACGGGAGCCAGGCGCCTGCAACTGGCTGGGGCGAGCTCACACCGCCACCGAAGCTGACCACGGGAGCCAGGCGCCTGCAGCTAGCTGTGGCGGGCTCACATCGTTGTTGTTGCACAAAAGGAGGCACCCCAGCGGAGATGGAGCGAGCCCACACCGGCAACAGAGGCTGCCTACGCACACATTCAGGCGCTCGCACCCCCACCCGTTGAGGGGCCGACCAATGGCAACTGCTCGCCGCGACACCGGCCTGTCGAGATCCGCAACATCGGCAACTTTTTATTGCATGAAGGCGACGCTCGCCTCGCATTCCAGCACGTTCATATCGCGTGACACTTCCTTGCCGTAGGGTTTCTGAACGGTTGGAAAGGTGGCGACCGGTACGCTCGATGATCAATAAAGGGAACGAGCGGGCCTGGCATATGACAGACGGCAGCAGACATGGCCAGCATCTCTGGTGTTTCGTGACGTCCGATGGTCAACCCTCGCCTTCCAAAGCTCCAACAGTGGCGCCAATCCGTCAACTCCAATTATAGCAATCTCATTGGAAATCGATCAATCCATGATGACATACCTTCACAGGATGTGTCAGCTACGGGATTCCGGCCGCGTCATGTATGCCGTCTATTTTCGACAACTGACGGCTTGCACAGAAGCGTTTATAGACATGCGACCCCCGCATCTGCATGCCTTTGTGCGCTTTACATGGATTTCTAGGTGGCTTAGGAGTTCCCTATCCACCCGTACTTGAGCAATAACTTATCTTAACATCCATCGACTATCGCTGCCATAAGCGGTGCTCAATCCCCACTCGACATGTCCGACGCGGTGGCTGCTGCCCACCCCCTCCCTCTTCTGGAGCCGGATGCCGAGCAAAGTGCGGAACCCAGCGCGCGGCGCGCCGGGCCCCGCCAGCGCCGTCGCCGGGCCGGCCGCCGCCCCCAGCCCGCCTGACAGGCACTTGCACGGCCTCGGGAAGCCGGCGCGAGGCCAGCGGCCGCCGGACGAGCGCGAGTTCGACGCACGCTGGGTGCCGTGCCCCGCCCGGCGCGGCGTCACATCTGCACAAAGGCTGTGACGACGTGACGATGTCGGAGCGATTGCGTCCTGGCAGCGTTGAGCGGTCCCGCAGCGGAATCTACAAGCGTTTCGGTGTAAAGTGAGTGCGACGAAGATGCGTTTCCGCCACATCTCAACTTTCTAATGCAGCTGTTATCCCCGACAACGATTTCACACCATGGTAGCACGTTCCTGCGCACATATCAGACAGAAGACACACTCTCCATTCACAGAAACGCACAAGCAAAATCTCAGTCCCGTAGGAGACATTTTGGGGTCCGGCTTTCCTTCAACAGTCCACACGACAGTGCACACAGAGCCGCGCGCTGCCGGGGTGGGTGAGGATGGGGTGGGGAGAGCTCTGACCTCGGTGAGCCGCTGCAGCAGGGCGGGCAGCGCGGTGGCGCGGCTGCTGTAGCGCTGCACGTCCCGCTCGCGCAGCACCAGCTCCGCCAGCTCCGGGTCTCCGGTGGCGACGGCCTCCTGCGACACTGCCGGCGCCACCCACCCGCGCCCCGGTCACCGGGCGCCACAGCGTGTCGATCCCACGTCCGATGAACCGGCGGCCCGCCGCAGCGGGGAGGCCTCGGCGAGCACATCGGCCACTGAGTGCGTTATGGAGCAGGCGGAGGGCCACATATTCAGTTCCTCCCAATCGGTCACCCGCAGTGCTCGCGCGCGTCCCTCGTCAGAGCATCCCTCCGTCTCCCTGCGGCTCCGATCCACCTCCAGCCAGGGCAGCCAGGGCGCCCGCAGTCACCACGGGCGCACAGCCCCCTCCCCCCCCCCCCCCCCCACCGGCGCTTAGCGGGCCGCTCACCGGACCAGCCACCGCCGTTGTCGGCGTTGACGTTGCAGTTGTGGCGCAGCAGGACGCGCGCCGCCTCGGTGCGGCCCAGCGTGACGGCCAGCATCAGCGGCGTGCGGCCGCGCGGGTCGCGCCGCTCGCGGTCCACCTGCGCGGGAGCCGGGCGCGGTCAGGAGCCGGGTGGCACGCCGCGGACAACGCGGCAGACGCGCCGCGAGCCGACTCGAATGTCTCGGCGGAGGAGGTCCGCAGCGAGGCGCGCTGTGGTGGGCCGGACGATGCTGTCCTGAATTACAAACTGCGGGTGAAATAGTCGCTCTTGGCCGAGTCCACACGTCACGTCACTTATAATTATGCTATCGTGCTTCAGGTACGCAGCAGTGGATGTGAAGCCACATGTCATAAGGAATTGCCACAATTAATCCATGCCAAGATCAGTCAGCAGTTTATGGCACAGATCACACTGCTTACGTCGATTTTCTGAAGCTCGGCTTCAAGTTTTGCGTGCTCGTCATTCCACACCAGCCAATGCAGGGGGAATCTATCAAAGATATCATGTCCCACAGCTTCCATCTCACACTGCTGAAAAAGAAGAAAGCAATGAGCATGCTGAGATATGTTGCTTATGACTGCAGTCATGCCCAAATTTAACATGAAACAGCCTACAGCTTCCAGAACTTTAACACAAGATATGCCCATATGCACACACCATTCCACTCAAGTATCACACCTGACATGTGCAATTTAACATGCCAATTACAAACATAATTTTTGGGCTAATGGAAGCTTTACAGTACTACTTGGTACAAATTGAATATCATTAATAAAAATTTCCCCATTAGTGGTGACAGTCACACAAGCATTTGACATGCTGTTGCCGGACCAAATTGTCAGACCCAGATAAACCAGACCCAGCCCTTAGCATTTGCTGACTATTTGGAAAGCATAATTTGTTTCCATCAAATCAATACTATTTGTTCTGATTTTGTGCAGGTTATATGACAGCCAAACACATTCCAGCCTCCATGACTTCACCAAATCTCCTGCTGAGGGAGCAAACCCCTGCTGGTTCTGGGCAAGGTGTGCCAGGGCACACAGTTGAAAGCAGAATGGTAGTTCTCCCACTTGAAGGGAAAAAGTTATAAATTTGTTTTCATGCTATCACACCCTGCCCCCGACCGCAGAGAATAAATATTACAGCAAACATGTCCAGCACTGGCATCATGACAACATCTACACCATACATCTGAGCACTCAGGTTTGGTGATCAGCACCAATTACAGGACGTTAAGAAGCAATTTCTTAGGATCAGCCAAACAGCATTGAGTCAAATGATGGTCGACCCATCACCTAGGTGATTGTGGCTTGGCAGATCAGGTGGATAGACCAACATGTCAGGGTTCTAGTTCAAAAGGTGACATATTGCCAGCCCACACAATGTTGCAGGTGTGAAGGCTGCAAATAAGCCAGAAGCATGGTAACATGTATTTCCATTTATATCCTTGATACCCAACTAGACCACTCATGGAATTCTGCTTCAGACAGATCAGCATACCTTGAGCAAAACCAAGTGGTGCATGATAGTCATACTAATACTTAAAGACAAGACCATGAAACTTATCAAAGTTCCAACAAAAATTAGTTAGCATGGTCTCCACATGCACACCAAGCATGACCATCAATTAAAGAGACCCAGCTTGAAATCATTCAGTCCTAAGTTCAGCTCATTCAATAAAGATAATATATGTATCAGGCTTTTTATTCAGTACTGATATACATTGCCCTGGTATCAGAGCTGGCCACTTATCAATGTTAGAAGTATGATGACAGTTACAGCCATAATCAAGTCCTTCAGTTGCACAATGACAACTAAATGTTATGAATACCTAACTCCCATCTGAAAGAAATCCACTGCATCAGGCATCAACACAACATTGATGAACTGAATTTCACTTCTGTATAAGCTGCCCTTGGCCAAGTGAAATTTGGCTGAATTTCCATCACTTTTTTGTAGTGCATCTTAGGGGCAATCTGGTCTGAAATGACCTTGGAAACATCATAATTCCTCAAGAGTTTGCTCTCTATGCACTGAAATTTGTATGCACAGTGCACTGCTCTACCAATGTTTGCATTTACAAGGTGCAGCGACATGGTAGCAATATGTTGCTGCAACCCTAGATAACTTTGGCGTAACATGCATGTTTTGCAGTCTAAATATAAATGACAGTATAATACCCGTGTACCACAACAGGGCAAATTACTAAAACTGTGCAACTTGTTTTCAATAGGCTTTGGGGAGAAACAGATATCACACAAATGGCTGGTTTTAACACTGGGTGCAGACTTGCGGTTTGAACAGTAGGTCCATAAAATCGGAACCCACATCACCTCATTTAGCTATAAAATGAGGAACACTGGCATATTGTCCATCATCATAGCGATTTACGTGGGTGGACAGTACTGCGGCAAGGTAAGCCTAAATGATCAGGTTTTATCAGTACACAAACCCCATTACAACACGTATGAGGAAACACCGCCGTAAGCTGGAAATGCTCACTCCACGCTCACACAAACGGCGACGACATGAATGACCACACCGATATCTACGAACACATACTCGACAGGGCCAACCTCATGTACCAACCCCACACCCGTTCTCCCCGCTGAACTGAGCCATCTGATCACTGTGACGCCCACGACGCACTGATCTGGATGAGCTGAACACGTAATTCGCACACATCCCACCAGGCTTTCTAAGTGACGTCACTGGTGTACCCCGTCATCTTGCTGGACATATATTTCGCATGCGCATCAACTTGTGCTGCCGGCGGCAGACGGACAATTCAGTATGCTGGCACAGAAACAGGGAGGGGGACAGGAGGGAGGTCACATCTCTTAGACACGGGAAGGGTCTCCCAATTTCGATGTGGCCGTTATTAGTTTTGGAATACAAAATCCAAATAATTTTATCACAGAGTTTTAAATACGGAATTCAGATATTTTTCCTTGAATAACGTTGAAAAACTTACCGATGGTCTTGTTTCCCTTCATCGTTTCATTCAAGTGCCACTGTTTTGGTGAGATGGAGATGAACCTTTGGTCCGGTGGGAGTTGGCTGTTTCGTGCGCGCCCTTGTGAGGATGACACATTGCCGTCAACGAATATTAAGCGCGTTTTTTTGTTTATATCTTAGGTTTTAGTCAGCATTGTCATGCACCGTTCAAATATCACGTCAGAGGGTGCATGTAAAAGGGTATTTAGGCCACGCTGTCGTGAGCGCCCATCTCCATCCAGCTTGGTGTGAAATTCGGTACGCTGCCGCCAGGTGGCGACGGCTGCCGTGGCCGGTTCGGTCGCCAGGGGGCGGTTAGGGGTGCGTACCAGCGTTGAAACCGCTAGGTGGCATCAAGGACGACCCGGCTATCACTTCGTATCATGGACTCTAGGCTGCAAGTCCGGTGGCGGATCCGGAGGGAGGCCACGGGGCCTTGACCGTGGCCCTGTGGCCTCGGTCGTGGCCTCAGTCGTGGCCTCAGTCGAAATAAATTCACGCACATTGCTCTTCGGTACATTGTTCTTCGGTTCTAACTTTGGGCTCCAAAGAGGCACATAAGCGGGCAGAATGGGCGCAGTTTTTTAAAGCTCAAACTACAACAAAGATCTAACGTCTTTGAGGCCAGGACGTCCTAACGTCCTACAGGCCAGGAACAGTCACAAGCAAAGTGAAGGGTATATGGGAATGGGATGGCCTGACTTCGCTGTCTGGAGGTCCCTCGCTATTGCCCGGGATCTGTATGTCAACTTGCCGGTCAATCCGATCGATAAGGAGCCTTCCACGTTACTCCTGATTTTCTGACATCCGCTCGGATGGCCTTATGAGCACGGTGCTGTTGAGGCCCGATATGCTAACCTGCCGAGACACTTCTGATCAGTCCGGAGCCATCCACGGATTCTTACCAATTGCCCGAAGGGATCTTTACGCTGTTGCCAGGTCCCGCCACCTGCCGGGGTACTGTAGGTTGCTCAGGGGCCCTTCACATTGGTTTCGGGTTCTTTCCACATGCTTGGAGGACCCTGCGCTTTTGCTGTGGCCCATATAAGGTAACATACCGATGTACTCGACGCCCAAGGGCTCTCTATATTGGTCTAGGGCGCTCTCCATTTGATCTCACTTAAGGAGGACCCGGCAGAAAAAAAGCAGGAAGCAGAGCAGAAGGGGTGCTTGTCGGCATCCTCTCTGCTAATCCGCGAGATCACCTCTGATCGCGCCGGGATCGGCCACATTAGTCTTGGGGGACATCATAATTGCTCGGATGACCTTACACTGATTGTCGGGGGTCTTATACGCTCATCTGCCCAGACACTCTCGATGGCTAAAGATCATCAATTTACTTCCTCTTCTTGCTGCTGTTGCTCTTCGGTTCTTCCCGTTTGCTCGGAGGGCACTGCGCTCTGGCCGGAACCCTATGTGCTTAACCTGCCGGGGCACTCCCGATCTTCAGAGGGCCCACTTCTTTCGTTTCGGGATTCACTTGTTTGCTCGGAGGTCCCTACAGCGTTGACGAGAGTCCCTATGTTGATCTATCGCGGCGCCCTCGATCGTTCGACCGCTCAGGTGCCGTCCCGACTGGTGTTGGATTTTCCCATTTTAGCGGAGAGCCTGCGCTGTTGACAGGGACTTGAACCTTAATCGACCATCGGGGCGCTCTTCATCGCTCCTCGGGCCCGACATCAGGTCATACGCTGCTCAATGAACGTCCTCCATGTGTGAACATACATACCATTCTCGAGCTGTGAACATTGAGATGGTTTTTCCGCACAAAAATAGCACACATTAGAATCCTTAACTTTCTACGCCGAGACCCGAGGATTTAGGGGGGAAGGGCCAAATTTATATAGCCCGCACTGAGCAGATCCTTGGGTGGCAGGCCAAAGAGAGTCATAAACTTTTGGAAGCCAAGATGACTTTTAAGTTTTTTTTTGCTTGCCTGCCTTTGCGCCAAGTTCAAATCGTCCACGGTGCATGTAGCACTCAGATTTAACCGGTTTTCTCATTTACAGTAAAAACGCGTGTAAATCTAGTGTATCTTTTCTTTTCCTCGCGCAGGATGGCGAGGCTGCTATACGCGCTCCATGTATCCATCTACGCTCCTGCATGCCTCTGCGGTGAACGCCTTATCAGCCGACCGAGCTGCATGCAACAACCGTGCGTCAGTCGGTGCAAGGCCTCGCTGTGTTTGAAGTTAGGGACTCATCGCAAAGTCGCGTTTGGCCGACGTGTCGATGGGGTTTTCTGGAAACCCCAGTTCTTGATCGGGCATGCGGTGTAACATGATGTATGTATTTGCCACTGCTACGGACCCGGATTTTGGCAGAGCAGAGCACTCGATAAGGGCTCAAGTTGGCAACGAATTCAAATTCATATTAAAATCGATATATTCATATCGACCTCCTATGGGTTCGGCAGTGGGTCTCGGTGGTCCAGCTTTTGTGTTCATCGTGATGTAGCTATCGATTAAATGTCTATCATTTGCATTAGCTTAATGCTCTTGAAAATCGAAGGAATCTGTTTTAAATGATTCTACATAATACACCACGCCTACAATTTCCTCGTCTACAACTGCCACTACACATTGGTAACATAAGTAAGACGTAAGGAAACTTGTGTGCCGAACTTTTTTTTCTACTTAACGCAATCAGAAGGTCACGTTATATTTGTGTGCAGATTTAAAGGTTGTTCGAAAGTCCGCATCTGGAGTAATATCGGTCTGAATACGAGCGAATTCGGCTCAAATATTCCTGAAATAAATGTTCCTGAAACACCTTATGGGATTTAGTCTTCTCCTCCACAAAAAAGTTCTGGATTTTTGCCGTTCAATTTCAGATGCGTGTTATTGCTATGTGAGTAAGGGGTGACTCTCTTAATGGGCGTCACACTGGAGGGACACGGTACGTAAATACAAGAAATGCGTTCATTTTTGTCCACAGACTGTTAGATGTTATAATTTTGCGAAATATTTTATTGAGGATGTGTGAATATTCAGATGATATGTGGCAAAGTGAGTAAAGCTGGTTGTTAAACGCCGTAAAATACAGGCACGGCAATTGATTATACTGGCTAGCTATTGATTGTTACATGTGGCGAAACCTCCAGAGAAAAATTGCATCTTTAGATTACAGAGCTTACTTGCAGTGCACGGTTTCAAACGAGGGCGGTGACCATTATACTAATCCAAAATCGTAGCGACGCAAGTGACACCGCGTGATGCGAATATAATGTGTTGGTCGTGTTCGTTCAAAGCGGCGAAGACAGTTTGATGTTGAGACTTGATTTCATATATTGTCGGACAGCAAAACATAGGGACAACTCCCTGGGATGTGCAACAACGTTTATTCGTGTGTCGTTAAATTTTCAACAAGGAGTTATGAATGTTATAATTGTTCGTATCATTGTAACCGTCTGGTACTAGTGCGAACGCAGCGTTCTGGTCAGGAAATTTTCCGAACGTTTTCGGGTGTTATTAAGTCCTTGTTACTTCAGGTGTTATTTAAGATTTTGGGAGGACTAAAATTTCGGGAAAATCCCTCCCGAAATTGTCACCGTTGCGGTATCAGTTGCAATGAGTCGTATGCATGTCAGCCAGTAGTTTGTTCAACATATCGGGACCATACCTCATTGAGAATGACTCCAGAATCACTTCGGTGATCACGTGACCAGGCACCGATCGACACATGGAGCCGGGAGTGACTCCAGAATCACTTCGGGGATCACGTGACCAGGCACCGATCGACACAGGGAGCGGGGAGCGACTCCAGAATCACTTCGGTGATCACGTGACCAGGCACCGATCGAAACATGGAGCGGGGAGTGACTCCAGAATCACTTCGGTGATCACGTGACCAGGCACCGATCGACACATGGAACGGGGAGTGACTCCAGAATCACTTCGGTGATCACGTGACCAGGCACCGATCGACACATGGAACGGGCGGCTCGTTTCCCCGATCCGTCACCCCGTAGCGCCTTTCTGCGGGCGTGCCTGTCGGACCATGGCTGTGGGGATCGCCACAGACAATTTTTGAGGTCGGAGTAACGAGATATTACAACATTCGGGCGATCCCCATCACTCAGAGCGCGCACGTTGTGAACTGTCTGACCAAGGGCATCCGTGCGTGTTTGAGTCGCCGGGGCCAACATCTTGATCATGTAATATAATAGTCCCGTAAATCAACACGAGACGTTCAAGTATCGCGCGAAGTACGCGAGACGCATCGCTATGGAAGTTAGTGGGCTAAACGTGCTCTAAATTCCCCTCTGGATCCGCCCCAGGCTCAGTCCCTCAAACTGTCTATGCGAAATGACACCCCTGACCTGGACATGTTGTCTGCAACCCGAAACAGCATCTTTTGGAGAATCATCTTTCGGAGTGAAACCGCGACTTACTGGTCCTGGATGAGATTAAACATATTGTACGGGAAAGCTTAGAGAGTGCTTCTTAACGTTAGTTTTGGACTGAAATATCAAAGCAATTTAAGAAGGCTGTTGAACCACCTTGGACCGCTTCAGGTAAGGTCAGGTCACTGACCTGAAGCGACACTGTCGGACCTGTCGGTCGGGAAAGGTAGATGTAGGTTGAAGCTGGCTGTGTGAGAAGGTC